ATGCATATCCATTTATATAGGTTTCATTTAACTAATGAAAAAGTATCCCTGAACTGGTAAACTCCTCTCTAGAATGATTCTTGACTTTGCTGAACCTTAAACACCTACTTCTCTATTGAATTCCTGAATAACATAGCAGCAGCATGTACTTTAAAAATTCTGATCTTGAGACGTTTTTTATAATTAAAAAATACACAACAAAAACTCAAGTTTTGTCACAACCAGGTAGGAATTAAGAAATTTCTTCAGATTCAGCAAAGACAGAAATTACAATCTATAGGAATTAGAATTCAAACCTTCAAACCCCACCTCTTTATAATAACCACCTTATTAGACAAAGTTAAAGAAAGATAATTACTAAATATGTTTCCTGAGAAATGTGGGCACAAATCTGAGATTTTCCTACCAGTATTAAGATCTTACAACATAACAGTTGTAACACTTGGGTGTTGAGGCAAACTCTGTCCCAACCAGTTCTGACAACTGCCTGTGTTTACAAAACAATTGATGGTGTCAATCAAAGACTTCAGTAAAGACCGTCAAAACCCTCGGGAATTATTATTTAAAATGTCTTCAGTCATATTTAGGTCTCAATGGCTTCAAATCCTTTTTAGAACAAGTAAACATATACATAAGCATACAAGTATTATATTCCTTACAAATGAGTAAACTCAACAATTTAACTTATTAGCAACAATGCAATTCAGTGAGATAATCAATTTAAGAAATCATAATATTATTCAGGAAACAAAGTGTTCCTCTGCCTCAATTTCTGTTGATGGAATAAATTATCTCAAAGCCCAACCTCTGCTAAATTATCAGGAATTACCACTTACGCATTTTCTTCATCAAAATTGGCCCGTTTAGATCCAATTTTGTAGAAAGAAGGGAGCTGTGGCGGAGCCGACTTTCCAAATCCAGAAGAAGAGCTGGTTGCCCCAAAGGCACTGTGGGACTGTTGTGGAAGTTTTGGTTCCTCCTTCTTTCCAGCACTAATGGCAAAACCTCCAAAGCCAAATCCCCTTTTAGTGCCAGGGCCACCTTTATTCCAGTTCATGGTGTCAATGATTGATCTGTTAGGAACAAGATATACTTATATAAATTTAACTTTATAAAGTGAATAGCCCCGTTGATTTATGTCTCTCCCAACCTCTACCTATAATTTCATTTTTAACTTTTGCCTCTCAATTAAAACTTTAACTTTCTACTTCAGATATGCAATATGCTAACTGCAATGAAATGGTCACATTTTTAAAAACACTTTAGAAATTTTTAGTTTACCAGAATCTCAATCTAAATGGGAATGCAGCATTTAATATTATCCCCTTTAAAAGGATTTGATTGTTAATTTAACACTTTTTTAAGCTGCAAAAATACTCCTAAGACAAAGAATATTTTGGAAGATCTGATATATGCTAGGCTTGTGTTAGGCAATTGAAGATACCAAGATGAAAAGACTTAACCTCTTAAATTTTATCCTCAAGGAGTTTACAGTCTACCAGGAAAACAGACCCAAAAAAATAAATAAATAAAAGCTTCATAAACAAAACAATCTACAATTACAATATAATGTAATGCTTGTTATAACAGAGACTGATGTGCTATCTGCAACACTGTCCCAAAATTAAAGATTCTGCTCTGGTAATGACATCATGAGGATTCAAAGAATCAAAATTTAAAAGATAGTTATTTGTAGAAATTATCTATGTAATTATCTCTAAAAGGTACTTATGAACCATGCATTTATTTAGCAAATGCACACTAGGACACTTCTCACGGAAGAAACCACGATTCATTGCTATGTTGCCTTATACATTCAGTTAGCCTGTTAAGGATTACAAAGAAATTCCTGAGCATGGATCCAATCAATCTAAAAACAGTACCTCATAGTATCTTTAATTAGTCTTGGCTCAAAAAAAAACATTTTTAAATACACAAGTTACCTAAGTTTTGTAGAAAAGCAGGAAGCTCAGAAAGCAAAAGGGAACAAAATTTAAAACTACCTGAAATTTCCTCTCCCAGATATGTAAGTTTGATCTTTTGCTATTTTTTTCTACACTATTTTTTAAATTGTATATACACACAACTTCAAACAAAACTAAAACCATACTGTACATATTACTTTAGTTATTGATTTCTTCACCTAATGATATACTATAACATCTTTAAATGTCAATAAATACATTTCTCCACTACTGTTTTATAATGTTGTGAAACACCATATAGCTATATCCTTGTGCATACCCTTATTTCCTTAGAATCAATTTTTAAAATGCAATTGCTTAGCCAAAGGGAACATGCATTCTAACTTATTTTTTAATATATCTTTATTGATTTCAGAGAGAGGAAGGGGGAGGGAGAGAGAAACATCAATGATGAGTCATTGATCAGTTGTCTCCTGCACGAGGCCCCTACCCCCAGGATCAAGCTAGCAACCTGGGAATGAGCCCTGACTGGGAATCGAACCTAGATCTCCTGGAACATAGGTCTATGCTCAACCGCTGGACCACGCAGGTCGGGCTGCATTCTAGTTTTAAAAAATTTTAATTATGACTTACACTTATGGATAAGTGTCCATTACACATTAAGTCAAATAAAAAGTAGGTAAAAGTGGACGATATGATTCAACGTAATTCAATGTGAAAGCAAGTGTTATATATCCAGAGATAGCTGGAGGGCAGTAATTCAAAATGTTAACTGCAGTTATTTGATTTTTACTTTCTTTGTATTAAAGTTTACAACTAATAATAAAAATTAAAAAGTTTATAGTGGACTCTGAAGCCAATGTGGAAAGAGTTCCAAAAATGGCTTTTTATGATGACATTGTTGAAGGAACCAAGAACATGCTCTACTTTTCGGCTTCTCTTCCCCTCCCCCATAAATATCTTACAGGTTTTATTTGAAGTATTATATAACACTTAGTTCAGTCTACTTAGTATTAAATTTGATTTATGCTATGTCAATCTTCACCGTTAGGCCACCCTTAGTAGTTCCATCGAAGGATCATGGTTTGATTCCTGGCTGGGGTGCATGGTGGGGGGGCAACCATTCGATGTTTCGCTCTCTGAAATCAATGAAAAACATATCCTCTGGTGAGGATTTAAAAAAGAAAAAAAAGAAACTAAGCTGATTATATGAATATCAATTTTATAAAAACTAAAATATAAACAACTGCACTCCTCCATGAATTATACTAAATTAATACAATATAATTTAAGTCAGACCTTATCATTCCTCTGCTAAAAATCCTGTTCCCATCTTAAGCAAAGCAAAAGTGAAATCCTCACAACAGCCTAAAAGGTCCTGGTTGTTCCGCTCCCACCCCAATTCTTTTTCTTTCCTTACCTTATCTCCTACCACTCCCTCTTTTGCTCCCAGTACAAGCACATAGGTCTTCTAACTGTTCCTTTAACAGGCCAGCACTGTCTTCTTCCAGGTCTTTACACTTTCTGTTAACCTCTGCCTAGAATGTTCCTTTTCCCAGACTCTGGCTTGACTCACACTCCCTCACCTGCTTTCAGTCTCCTTAAATATTAGGTTATCTGTAAATACATCCCTGACCACTCTATTTCAAAATGCAACGTCTTCTCATTTCTCTTTCCAGTGGTATTTTTCCCTAAGGCACTAATAATCTCCTAATTTACAGTATAATGTATGTATTTGTTTACTGTCTCTCTTCCCTCCACTAGAAAGTAAGTTTCATAAGGGCAGGGGGTCAGAGACCTAAAACAATGCTAGGGAATAGGCACATAGTAGGTATCAATAAGAATACTTCTTAAATGAATGAATTGCAAATTATATAATGCCCCTTCTAGGTACGGGAAAAGACAACATATTTTTTCCACCGCTGAGAGTCTCAAAATTAATTTTTATACAAAAACACTTATTGCTCACCTCCTGTGCCAGGACTAGGCTGGCTCTGGAAAGTTACAGTGACTAAGAAATAGCATCTGCCTTTTAGGAGCTCCGGGTGTATATAGGGGGGGCGAAGAGATACAGAAACATCATTACAAAAAACAACATACAGGGAAGCCAAAGGAAACTGGAGCCTAAAGAAGTAACGGGCAAAAGGGGAAATGCTTCACTAAGGTGACAAGGGGGCTATGATCCCCCCAAACTCTCGACTATTAGTCTCTCTATTATTGGTACGTACGCTTGCAACTCCGTATAAATTATTTATTCACATCAGATAGGCTTTTAAGTAGGCCGCAAAAAAGTTTGTGAGACGACGGTGATGCTAATCACAATTTACTCAAGACCGCACATGGATTATCCACCGACTTTTGTCTTTAACTGTCTTCTGATGTGGCAACTTTTGCCTATAGCCCCCCTCCCCTCCCCCGATTTGGAGGCTTGCATCCGCCAATGCTGCCGCCTAGGGTCAGAATCCTCCCGGTGGCCATCGCAGCCTCGGAGCCCGGCACCTGGCAAATCTCTTCCGTAGTCAAGGGGGAGGGCGCCGCCTCCGGAAAACCGCCAACTGGGCCTCCGTACGAGTTGCGGGAGGAGCGGGAACCGTGGGAGGGCGACGCGGCTCGGAAGTACCCCTCGAGGCCTCAGCTCCGCACTACCACCCCTCCCCGGCTCCCTGGGCCTCCGGTGCCCAGGAGCTTCGCCGACTCTTTGTTAAGTGAGGCCGCGGTTCCCTGGCCTTCGCTAGGCCCCGCACTTGCTTCCAGTGGCACCACGGGGTCGCGGCCCCGCGGCCAGACCCAGCTCACACAAACCTGCTGCTGTAGCGGCAGCTACTACTGCCTCCGACGCGGAGAGAATCCCACGGCCCGAAGTACGCGCGGTCCAGGCCCCGTCCCGTCGCGCTCCTCCTTCTCCGCCCCTTTCGCCGCCGCTGCCGCCGCCTCTCGACCCGTTGCTGGCTGGGGGAGGGGAACACAAACCTGACATGCGCAAAGCAGAGCGCGGGCCGAAGGGCGGGGCCTGGGTCTAAGACTCCCGGAAAACGCCGCGGGCTCCTGCTCTTAATGCTCCAGAATGTCTCGCTGACCCGTCAGACAGTTTGACAGGGCTCTGCTGCTGGGTGAGGAGTGTTCACATCCTGTGTAGGAAGTGGGCCTGGGGGTGGAGAAAGGATAGCAATGACAGGGAGCCGCCCAAAAGTTCCGAGAAAAGGGCTTGGGCAGAAACCGCATATACATAAAATTGTCGATCCCCTAAACTCTGGTCCTTTGCAAATACGACTTGGACGTTTCTCCGCGTGCCTCTGGCCACGTGCTCCCACGGAGCATGGCCACCTTTAGCTTCCGGAGCACCACTTCAATGTTGATGACAACTTGCCTAGTGGCGAACGAAGGGGCTGGCGTGAGCAGTTCCGGCCCAGGGGCCGAGATTATGTAATTTTCCCAGCAGCCCCACCTTACCTCTCCCGGGCGGGGTGGGGGAGGTCTCGCGCGGTCCCGGAGGCTACGTCCCGCCCCCTAGACGCGCGCAGGCGCCGATGGGCCTCACGTAGTCTACGTAAGGGATGGCGGAGGCTACGTGAAGACTAGGGCGGCGTGACTGAGCTACCTGGTAATTCTGTGTCCCAGAGGCGTCAGGGGCGCTAAAACCGCGGTGACCGCGCAGGCGGCGGCCAGGCTGGGAGGCCCGTGGGGTAGAGGTGGAGGCCGCAGGAGTTCTGAGGCGGTTTCTAGCCCCCGGTACAGGTAGGAAGCGGGCCATGACGTGTTAGTCGGTGGGGCTCGGAGCAGTCCCAGTGGTCACTCTGAGTTGCGTGGCCTAGCCTGGTCCGGTTTCCCACCCAACCCCCCTAAGTCAGGCCTGTGGTGACAGGCATCGGTCCCCGCTCCTCCTCACTTCTCCCGACTTCCTTAAACGAAGCAAACTTTGTCCATCCCCAAGGCCCATTTTCACTTGGTCTTCCGGATTGGGGTGATTTTAACGGCTTTGAAGAACTTCCCCAAAGATTTGTGAGCAAATGCCAAACAGAAGGGCAAAGTTAGAGGAAGCTTACAGTGTGCAGCAGGAAGAATGGAGTGCAGCTGTTAGGATGAATTGATTCTCCACGGTAGAGACCAGACCCTGGTGGACAGAAGCAACCGCGTCTGACCACTCTTCTCTGAAGGCTTCTAACACAGATCGTGTTTTTATTCAACGTGTGTGAGGAGACGGGGATGTCTACGTGACTTCCAGAAGTCTCATAGTCTGGCCATTGTCAGAAAGGCCTAATCCAAAAAGGCAACAAAGAATGATTCCTCCACTTACTCCTCTCTGGTTTTGTAAGTTCAGACCCCAATCTGTGAGAGGCTGCTGAGTGAGCTGGCAGAAGATAACCAAACCAGACTTGTTAGTGCTTGTGCTCCCAGCCCAGGGAGCCTCATTCAGGACTGGGCGGCCTGGCAGGGAATTTTGCATTTGAGAAATGAATTGACAGGTGGAGTTGAGAGACTTCTGAGAGGAAAGGCCAAGGCACAAAAGGCTCGATAATTTTAACCTAAATAACCTTGAAGGAGCCATGTTACGGTGCGGAGTTATCTTAGAAATGCTTCTATGGTGTGAACATTCTAAGTGGAAATCCAATTTGAAATGGTCAGACCTTTTGGCAGGCAGTTGTCTATGTCAGTGTTAACCTTTACTTCTGTTTGGAAAACGTTTAAAACAGATCTGAAAAGGGAAACACTAAATATGAAGTTTTTAAATCTTAGGGTGTGTTCATAGGGCACAGGGGAAGGAAGTAATGGGAACTAATATTTATTGCATATTTTCTGTGTGCCAGGCACAAATCTCCTGTACCACCCATACTACAGCCCCGTGAGACAATCTCTTTTCTAAGTGGGGAGCAGGGAATTTTAAGTCATTAGCCCAAGGTCATATGGCTGACAAATAGTAGAGCTGACATTAAACCAAATCTACACCAAAGTGCTTGCTCTTTTTCATGTTTCTTCTACTTTCACTATAATAAAAAGATTATTGAAGGAAGCTCGGGATGTTTGGAGACACTTAACAAAACTTTTTGAGGTTAGTGTTGAGAAGGCAGCTATGTTTTCCCATAAAATGTTCCCTGGTGCTAACCTCAAAGATCAAATATTGGAAAGGAGATACTATATGGCATTTCTCACTTGTGTCTACTTAAATTTATGAACTTTGTCCAGTTCAAAGAATATTCCTTGAGCAGCCAGGGGTTGCAAAATATTGGGCAGTAACCTTTGATATTGAACTAATTCTTTTAAGAATTTATGGTATTATAAATACGAAATACAGAATATTCACTATCCCAGAGCATCTTGAAAGAATAGTACATACTCCCTTCT